TGTGGGGAATGCTGTAAGAACCAATGAGTTATCCTTATCTTCTAGGCACCCCGGCGACTTCCTATTTTACTAGGCACCATATGTATGTGTTGGTGTAACAAGCCCCTGTGTAGAGGTCAGAATGTCCCAATTGTTTTATTCTGCTGATACTGTTATAGTCAATACTTTTCAAGAAAAGAGTGACTCATTCTCCTATTTGATAGGCTTTGTTAATTGGCGGGCGGTGAGAGAGTGTGTGTTACAGACCAACTCCTTACTGTTGCTTAAATGGCTTCCCAGTCTCTTCTGATGAACTATCCTTCTTCTAGTCAAGCTTCTGCTGCTGAATGATGCAAAAGTTATCTTTAAAAGTTCAAATCGTTGTTTTACTAATATGATTAGTCCTACTCACTCCCGTGGCTACGTGGCTTAAAAGTTACATCTGATGGTTTACTAGTTGTTGTGCTAATCTCTCTCTGTGTGTATGTGTATTTTATAGTGAATTTTCGTGTTTTCTCTTGCTAAGATACTGCATGCTTAGTATTTGTAACTTACAATCTGCTTCCCGTTATAAAATCAAGTATTTGTAACTTACAGAGTGGCTTATTGTGACAGAACTTTACAGAGTGGGAGTACCTCTTGCTGGGGCTTATTTCTGCACTTCCTGCTTTCTTTGTACCCGTGATATTTGTTGGAAAGGTGAATTTCTGTCTCCTTTTTCCTACTACTGATGCTCTGTTGGTGAATCAACAATACAATAACTAGACCTGTAAAAATTTCCAGTTGTTATTTATTCAAATGAGCTGCAACTTGAGTTTTCCAACCAATATTTCTTATCAAATTACTACCTCTTTATCGTTTTGTCACCTTTTCTCTTATCAAACTGTACTTAATTAGGTCATTATGGATCTGTGCTTAATGAAGGAGACAAATTGCTCATTTTTGATAAAAAAGGAGATAAGTTACTCATAACTTTTGTGTTAAATGTAGGAGATAAAATGACTTATTATGAGTCCAAACTATCATGTGCAAACTATTGCATTTGAATGATGAGCTTTTCCTCTAATTCGCCAAGCTCTTCAGTGCAACTTCTTCTTGTTTATTCTTGACGATATACATAACTAGTTAAATCAACATAGTTAAAAAGATGAGCTTTATAGTATTTGTTCGAAAAACTAGTCATATGAAGGCTTATTATTATGTGTAACTTTTGCAGGCTGACAGGAGCATTCCTTGGAAGGATCGTTATTGGGTAAAGGCAAGTGTTCTTGAGGAAGAAATATCAATTTCTTTTTTGCAATTTTAAGGACTCAACTATAAGCCTCTATTATGATTGGTTTCTAGATTCAATTTTCATATGACTCGGTTTGGAAAAATTCTCGTGGAGAAAAAAGATAATATAAGTGAAAGAAAAAGACAAGAGATCATTTTTTTTGTGGCCATAGCTTGTTGTGAAATTGGGTTGTCTTTCTTGATTTATGATGCTCAGCATTGGTGCTAAAAGACAAAATCACTAAAATTGGCACAGGTTAATTTATTTCGGATTCTTTGGTTGACTAATGTGGCATAGACAAGAAATTTCCTTGCTACTTATTTCGTGATTTTACGATCCTCTCTTTTGGTTCTTGTATGGACTACTGACTATTGATTTGCTGTTATTCCAGGCTAATCTCTGGATAGCAATTTTCACTTATGTTGGGAACTACTTTTGGACCCACTATTTCTTCACAGTTTTGGGGGCTTCTTATACATTTCCGTCTTGGAAGATGAATAATGTAACCACCTGTTCGGAATTTTGCCCCATCCTTTACTTGGATTTTTCATCTTCTAAAAGCTTTATCGTGTAACTCTGTGCAGGTACCCCATACAACTTTCCTTCTAGCACATGTTTGCTTCCTGTTTTACCATGTCTCGGCAAACATGACCCTTCGTAGGCTACAGCATGCTATTGCTGATTTGCCCGAGAATATTCAGTGGGCTTTCAGGGCTGGATGGATTCTAGCATATGCTTATTTTATAGCTTATTTGGAGACCTTAGCTATTTCCAATGTAAGTGGTCAATTTTGTGAGTCCAGAAATATCTTATGTAAGGGTATATAGCAGCCTTATCAGATGCCTTTGTGATATATAAATAAGGTTAAAAACATCACTTGTTTGTTTCTGACCTCTGCAGTTTCCGTACTATGACTTCGTGGACCGAGCAATTATGTATAAAGTTGGCTCGTTGTTTTACGCGATCTACTTCATTGTAAGCTATCCGATGTTTTTCAGGTAAGAACTTCTTTCCCTGCAATTCCTGCCTCTGAAATTCCCCTAGTGCAGATGTTGTTTATTTACGGTATAATTACAATGTCTTTTAAACTTCTATACATTTTTATCGTTTAAGTGCAATAGTCTAATCAGTTCTAAACTAGAGTGGAAAATGAGGACAAATATGTCGAAAAGATTTTGAGTAACACAAGGTGGATGAATTCAGTCCGCGGACTAGCTAAGTTAAACATATTTTGTAATATTCAATAGAATCGCCTCAAGGTGTATAATGCTGGAGCAAGCAAAATTCAGTTCTATGATATTTATTTTGAAAAGGTTTCAGATAAAAAAGGTAATAATGTTATTTGCTGAAGGTAATATCCGCTCTCAAGTTAAGCTTGCCTCAGTTATTGTTAAGCAGTTAGATGCTCATAATCTGACTCTCAATTTCTGTAACGTCTTCAAAGATTTTCTTGGCCAACTGATCTTGCAATTTGAGGACGAAACAGATGAGTGCATTATTGAGTTGATTGATGTTGCTGTCAGTGTTTAAAGGGATTTCTAAAGTCATCTGATCTTTATTTTAGCGGCGCTAGTAGCTCTTTTCAATCTTTTCTAGAGGGGCCATTCATGAATATTTCAGCATGATTACTAGTGTAAAATTTGACAGTTCACAGTGAGATTTGGTATACTATAGTTTTTGAGATAGAATGTATGCTCCAAGTGAAAGTGCTCTAACTTGATTTTATTAACCGTCTGAGGCGCTTTTAGAATTTTCAATGTTGGACAAACAGAAATGTGAAATTTCATACTTGTTTAGAGTTGGTAAAATTCTATACTTCACTATTTATTGAAAAAAGAAACTCTACACTTCCACTAAAGTAAAATCTTGGAAGTTTTTAAGCTTTGCTTTAAAAAGTGGTTTTCTAGAACCATAGGCAACACAAACACTCTTCTGACCATATGTGGATTAACCTTAAATATGTATCATATTACACCATTGTCGTTAATCATTATGGTCCAGAACTCCTGCATTTTAACTACTATATGCTGTGTAACTATCATTTGTGAATTCTGTTGATGGTTGTTTGCTTTAATGCACAGGGTTGATGAGAAACCTGGTGATTCGTGGGACTTGCCAAGAGTGTCCATTGATGCTTTGGGTGCTGCAATGCTAGTCACAATTTTACTCGACTTATGGCGCCTTTTTCTAGGTCCCATTGTCCCAATGGCAGAAACCAAACAATGCCTTCAATCAGGACTCCCATGGTTTTCAGTGACATCTTGAAGGAGTTTCAATCGCGACGTGTGAAGTCAACAGCTTCTGCAAAATCAGAAGTTTAGGTCTCTTGAAATGATGTTGAGTGGATTAGTTTAGGCCCTTGTTGTACTCTTACCAACTTAAGACAACTTCAGAATGATGTTCACTTGTACTCTTCTTGAACACTATGTTTTATTAGCTTCTAAGAAACTGGAAAGCAAGTTAGCCAGTAAAAGCAGTTTCAGATTTCTTGGTGCAAATATTCTGAATTGGTTGATAAGAAAGAATAAAAATAGGGGTAAAGTGGATGAGTTGGTTACACTCTCATGTTAGCATTTTGAGCCCCTCTAAAATTGTATGGAGAAAAAAAACCAATCCTGCCAAAAAAAGGAAAAGTAGTGATTAGTGATATTGGTGGAAGTTTTCACCAACCATATTGTTGATTATTAAGGCTTAATATTGTGTCATAGCTTCATACTACTTTCAAAATGGTATTGTAGAAACTCTTAATCTGAAAAATGTTTGTAACCTACACGTCACAAGTTCGAGCGTGCATTAGGATAGATTATTTATGTTATATCTCTTGGGGTACGACCTTTTCTCGGACCTTGCATAGATGCGAAATGCTTTGTGCATCTGCCGTACTTTTTTTTTTTTTTTTTGCAACATAAATAGTAGTACTACCATTTCAAGATGAGAATTAAAAAGAAATAAGCCATGTGAGCTGTGGCTTTGACTGTTCTTGACCCATTTCAAGATCCATATGCATTTTCAAAAATCTGATCTGTCTTTTTATTTTTCTTCTTCCTCATTTTCAGATCCAGAACAGTGTCATTTTCGAAAAGGGCTTTTTCACTTTTAGTCCGCGCCACAAATTATTTATATTTTGAAAGTCGATAAAATATATAAAATTTATATAATTTTTGTATATAACATACAGAATATTGTGAAAGTTTTCCCATAATAAGGTGAGTTCAATTTCCATTATCCTTTTCCCTTTTCCTCCCCACATGCCACATCCCATAGTAATGAGAAAAAATAAAGAAAAAAATATGGTCAACGTTGTTTTGAGATTATGATATGAAGACTGGAATACAATGAGCTAACCAAATTTGTTAAATCGAGCGTTGCTTTAGCTGCTGGTTCACGATTCTATTTCATGGTCTAGATAAATTTTGGACCTAACTCGATCTTAAAAGTTATAGTAAGTTTTTCGTAAAGTGTATTAGGTTCAGCCTCACCTTGTTCAAATTAGTTTCGTAATCAGACAATCGGAGAATAGAGAAAGGGCTATCATTCGAGTGGGTGAAGATATGACGCTCAATCCCATATCAAATAGGTGAGGAAGAACTTAAAAATGATAATTGATCGAAATCGTAAACTATAGGTTATAGGTTACAACGAGACAACTTTATCACTGCTCCAAAACTAGACAATCACAAATCTGTAATAAAGCCACGTGCCTAAGCCCACATGTGAACTGAGGTTGAGATGAATCATACGTAAAGTCAGCTTACCGTAAAAGAAGACAAATCATTACCCCCTCTCTCTCTCCTATACCTTTACACCCTCCATTTCCCCTCTCATTTCAATTCAAATTCATCAATACCCAACGGCTACTTCTTCTCGCTCAAAACCCTAATCTTCTTCATCTTCACCTTCTCCATTTCAAAAAAATGAAGCATTTTGCGCAACAGAGAAACACAATCTTAAGGGAGAATCACGAGTCTGCAGCTACAATGCCGTCATCATCTCCAAGCCCTAGCTCTTCAAAGCTGAAACCCTCAACATCACCCAACAACAGTAGTAGTACTAACAGGAAGCATAACAAATCATCTAAAGAGAATGCTCCTCCTCCGACCAATCACCCGTCAGATCCGAACTCATTGCAAGCCGTTAATGCGAAGACCAAGAGTCCTCTACCTCCACGCCCGCCGCCTAACTCCAATCATTTGAAACGGAAGCTCAATTTGGAGTCCGTTGGTACTGAGAATGGCAACGCTGGATCTTCTGATTCCGGCGTCAAGGTAAGATTGCGGGAAATTACATTAATTTTTGCTCTATATTGTTTTTGTATTGGAATGAAATGGATCCGAATAGAGCGGAATTGATATAGAAGATTCCTATAGCTGATCCCAACTTGTTTAGGATTTAAGTGTACCTATTGTTGTTGTTATTGTTTATATGTTGGATATGTAAGATGAGTTATGCTGGTTAATGACTTAATTCCACAAAATTTCTGCTTTTGAAGTCAATTGTTTCTGAGAGTTGTACAAAGCTACCATGAGATTTCAGGTTCAAATTCCAGCGAAGGCAAAAAAGGTATGCGATTTCCTCTCATCTGCCTAAGCGATAGCGGGCAGAGTTACCCGGTACTTGCGTTGGTGGGAGGTAGTAGGTACCCGGTGAAATAGTCGAGGTGCACGCGCAAGCTGGTGCGAACACCACCGTTATAAAAAATTATACCACAAGAGTTCCCTAAACGTGATTTATTACTAGTTTCTTTGGTAGCTGATAAATCAGTAAGTCAATCAGTGATTCATCAATCTCAGATTAGCTCGGGTCGATTACATGAATCCTCTATATCCATGTTGGATATTATGAGTATTTCTGCATGGTATTTGTCTTTTCCGTTTCAACTTGTTTTTTCCCTTGGAGATTAAGATAAATCTCTCTTGGCTTTTTCCACAAAATTTCTGCTATTTGTTAGGAATGCTAGTACCGAGTGCTCAGAAGGTTGTACCTGATCACTTGGAGGCAGAGATCAACTACTGTTTATGTCTTCTTCAGTTTGACTGCTGGGTAAACCTGTGGAAGCACAAGTAAACTAGAAAGATTAGTTTTTTCCTTAAATTAATATATTGTGAAAGGTTGTAACAAAGCTAGATCTCTATTCTACTCAATCTTGATAATGGTTTTCATTAATATGAACATACATTTTTATATGCATTCATTTTAATTCTTAAAATGCTGAGAGTGACTTGGTTTACTGCTATCAATGCTGACTTGCTGTTTATTCCAATGATATCTAATCCACTTTCTTTTGTCTGTCACTCTGCCTTGTTCTACCTTCCTCTTTGATTGGTTCAAACAGGCATTGTGTTAGTGCCTACTACTGGTAGAATCACGTATTGATTCCTGCAACTTTTCTCATCTAAAACAGGTCATAGTGAGGATGAGGCCGCCAACCAAGGATGAGGAAGAGGTAGAAGTTGTAGCCCAGAAGGTCTCCAATGATTCTTTGTCAATAGCTGGGCATACTTTTACATTTGACTCTATTGCAGATACCCAATCAACACAGGTACAAAGTAATAACCTGTTACCTATGTAGGAGGAAATAGCTTTCTTGAGTATATTTTAATCTGATAACTATGTTTGATTCTTCCTTGTTATTGTTCTTTGCTTCAATATAACAAGTATACGAAGAAGAGAATAATGAAAATGACATGCGCTTGACTCTTCTTTCTTATTGTTCTTTCAGCTTGATATATACCAGCATGTGGGAGCTCCTCTTGTTGAAAATTGTCTTGCTGGGTTTAACAGCTCAGTATTTGCTTATGGGCAGGTAATGTTAGCCTACTGCATCCTGCTACATGTTAGATATACGTGTTAAATATGCCTGGCAAACTTCAAATGTTCTTTCTTGTGGTGACATGAGCAAATAACATTTTTATATGATTGATTTTGATCAGACTGGTAGTGGAAAGACATATACAATTTGGGGACCAGCCAACGCCTTGTTGGAAGAAAACTTAACCAATGATCAACAGGGCTTAGCCCCACGCGTTTTTCAGCAGCTTTTCGAACGTATTAAGGAGGTGATATGTTGTCTCTGTGATCTTCTAATTCTCTGTGTCGTGGATTTGGTATGTTGTATAAAATGCAATTACCATAATATATGCATTTTCTTTTCAGGAACAATCCAAGCATGCCGATAAGCAGCTCATGTATCTGTGTCAATGTTCTTTTCTTGAGGTTAATTTGGTTGGCCCTGGTCGTTTACATGGTGAAACAAAGAGTATACTTGCAGTTGTCTAATCTTTAACTTTAATGATGTACAGATATACAATGAACAGATCACTGATTTGTTGGATCCTAGTCAAAGAAACCTCCAGGTAAAAAAGGAAATAAAATATAGATGAGTGTTGTAACCATTGTCTAATCCTGAGTTCTATTTGTTTGTTAAAAGATTTTCAATTCGTCTTCTCTTTTCAGATTAGGGAAGATGTAAGAACAGGAGTTTATGTGGAAAATTTGACTGAGGAATGTGTGTCCACGATGAAGGATGTGACAAAGCTTTTGATGAAGGTTCAGACTGCTTCCATCTTTTTATTACACTTTATTAGACATATAGTAATGCAGGCATCATGACTAGGTTTGCCAGATAGAATAGACCAGTAAAGGAAAATAGTTAGCCATGAGAATTTGTGCAGTAGGTAAATCACTTGGACCCTAATGCGAAATGGATAATAAACCAACACTTGCTTAGGTGCAGAATGTGCAGTAACATAAATGATAAAGGTCGACCGTCTTTCCTGCTAAGTGCTTGCTTATTTTCGATCCAGTTTTGGTAAGGAACCAAACTTGGAACTTTCTTTTGTTTTTTCCCCTGAAAGGACAGAAGTTTCGGTGTTCTAATGCTAATGCCTTGCCTTTCTAGATCCTTATGCTGCAGCTTATGTTTGTCTTTTGTTGAGTTTTATTACTGAGGTACTTGTCGAATTTCTTTTTATCACTGGGGTCTCTGCTATACTTTTTCCCACAAATGAACACGATTCATCAAATAGGGAGGGAAAGGGGCATATACCAGATTTTATTTGTGTTATCTTATTTGAAATTCTGACCGGTACTTAATTGGAAGATAATCTTTAGGTGTCAACATGTATCCATTCCTCAAATGGAGTCTATTGTTTAGCTTGTTAATCTTAGATCAGTATCAAAAGTTATTGTTAGTAGTTTTCTATAATTACATTTACTTGGACTTCTGGAGTTTTAACGATAAAATGGACTTTACACTCAGAAAAGCTTATAGAACTTGCTCAATGAAATTTTTACAGGGACTGTCAAACAGGAGAACTGGTGCTACTAGTATAAATGCTGAGAGTTCACGTTCTCACAGTGTATTCACCTGTGTTGTTGAATCACGATGCAAGGTGATACGATCTTATGTCCTTTCTGACAATAATCTGAATTCTTTTAAATGCCAAGTTATGCATTATCTGTTATCCATTATCACGCTGTTCTAATAGCAGTTTATAATTTGCATGCTCTCAGTGTGAGCAAGAACTTGCTAGCATAATAAATTATTTGGTTGTCATTGAGATCTGAAATAATAAATAATTTCAGAGCTTGGCAGATGGTCTAAGCCACCTAAAGAGGAGTAGAATAAATCTTGTTGATCTTGCTGGATCAGAAAGGCAAAAGCTAACTGGTGCAGCAGGTGAACGCCTGAAGGAAGCAGGGAACATCAACAGATCGCTTTCACAGTTGGGGTACATTTATTTCTTTATCATTTTGAGAAAAAGAATTATTCTTGGTTTAGCTCTCTAGGAGACGCTAATGTATGTGACTAGGAATTGCATATTTCCCTAGGAACCAATTGATTGAAGAAGAATAGAATTGAGTCCACTCTAAGATGAAACAAGATTTCTTACTTTCCATAGTTGATACCCAGTAACTGATCTTTCCAGATATTATTCTGGTCAGTTCCTGCATTGAAACTTTTATGGCGAGATTTCGATGACTATTTACTTGCTATATTTTCAAAGAAGCAGAGAAGCGTGTTAGAATGTTAAGTGAGTGTTAAACTGTCAGAGTTATTGGGTTAGAATAGATGAAGCTTTAAGTTCTTCGGTTAGATCTTGTCTCGTACCTATAAATAAGTATGTCTTGTATTCTTGAAATCATCAAGTAATCAATATTCTTTTCTCATTTCTTATTTTCTCGTAGGAACTGTTTAGGTGCAAGTGCTGACAGTTAAGATATCTAGGCTGAGTCTTTCAGAAGTATGTCTTGATAGATAAAGATGTAATACATAATAGGATGGCTAAAATGGAGGAATGACACATAAGTGTTACGCGATGGGATAACGCTTATCAAAGTAAGGCAAGTTTTCGCAGAACGGTTATGAGACTAGCAATGTTATATAGGAGTAAATGTCTGGCATCTAAGATTCAACATATCCAAGTAGAGGTCTCAGAATATAGTGGTTAATGCTATATGCCTTTTATTGCTGGGGTTACATACCGTTCAGGGACTTATTAAAGACTCATCTTTTTCACTATTAGTTGGAATATTTGTATATGCTGCTGATCCGACTACTTTTTGAAATTTACAGGAACTTAATAAACATTCTTGCAGAAGTTTCTCAAACGGGCAAGCATAGGCACATCCCCTATAGAGATTCCAAGTTGACATTTTTGCTACAGGAATCTCTCGGTGGGAACGCAAAGCTTGCAATGATCTGTGCCGTTTCTCCATCTCAAAGGTAGATTTACAACCCCACATTTCAGTACGATTTTGGTTCTCCAGTCTGTTTATCTTCATTAAATCTAGAGCTCTTAGTTCTTTTCGGTAATGCAGTTGTAAGAGTGAGACTTTCAGTACACTGAGATTTGCCCAGCGTGCTAAGGCAATCAAGAATAAGGCGGTCATCAATGAAGAAATGCAAGATGATGTAAATGCTTTGAGAGAAGTTATACGTCAGCTAAGGGTAAACTTTGTTCCTCTACCTGTGATTGATGCATCTTAAACTCTGGTTCAATTATGATAACTGGTTCAATGCCTCTTTTTCCTTTTCTCTGAACAGGAGGAACTGCTAAGAATGAAGGCAAATGGCTATCAGGCAGATCAAAATGGAAATTATTCATCAGGATGGAGTGTTCGCAGAAGCTTAAATCAATTAAAATTCAGCCTTAACCGTCCAGTGACACTACCTATTGATGATGACGGTGATACAGAAATGGAAATTGTGGACGAAGCCGAACTATTAGGTCTCTTGTCTGGAGGCAGCAAAGAAAATAGTATACTTGGGATCCTGCGGAAGACTTTTTCAAAAGGTTCATCGCTACTTGATTCTGCAGTACAGCATGGGGAAAAGGAGAATGGCTGCAACAAGGAGCAAGGCTCCGAGGATACGGATGTTACCATGGAGGAAGAGGTATCTGATGCAGTTGTCGAGCATGAAAATGATACTGCTGATGGTGCTGGACTGCAGAACATCAAGAAGAGTTTAATCGTGGATGAGTCGTTTTGCAAAGGTAGCATAGGAGAAACTGTTGAAGCTGTTTTGGATCGTTCATTAGTGAAACAGCTAGGTAAAGATTTTTCTATGAAGCCAACTGAAGAGGAGTATCTTCTGTCTTCTGCCAGCAATATGCTGAATGAAGGACGACGGGAAGTGGTAGAGGACTCACCATCAGAGCAATATTCTGAACGGACTCCAGAGAACTCTTCTAAATGCTTGGAGGGCAATACAGCCTGCACTAACCTCAGTGTAGTTCCATGTGATGTGTCGCCTATTTTAGACTCTCCCACTCCAAGTGTTTCACCAAGAGCTACTAGCAGTCGGAAAAGTCTTAGGACTTCAGTGCTGAGTGCTTCAAAGAAGGATCTTGGAGAAAAATTGGAAACCCCGAACATATCCTTCACAAAGCCTTCAAACAGTATTTGTTTGGATTCTCTAACAAGTCAAAGAAACAAAAGCTGTTTCACATCAACTGAACATTTGGCAGCTAGTCTTCAGCGGGGACTTGAAATTATTAATACTAATCGACAAAGTACATCTTTGAGGCGCTCCTCGGTCAGATTTTCTTGCAAGCCTGCTGATATTAGTGCAATTATACCAGTTGCTAAAATAGATGTTGGAGTTCAAACTGTTATAAAAGATGATGAATCATTTGAAGGAGGTTCGACATTTTTGTGTAGTAAATGTAAGGCAAGAAATTCATTGCAAGAGCTTAAAGATGCCGATGATGGCTCAAATTTGCAGTTGGTACCTGTCAATGGATCACAGTTGGTATCTGAAATTGGATCACAGTCCTGTGGAAACTTCCAGATTCAAGTGCCTAAAGTAAGTTTGAAGCTTCTTAAACCGGAATTTTTGGTTCTTTTAGTCTTGCATGATTCTTATACCTGTGCAACCATTCTAACTTTTTACAGGCAGTAGAAAAGGTCTTGGCTGGAGCTATACGGAGAGAGATGGCACTTGAAGATATATGTGCCAAGCAAACTTCTGAGATCATGCAACTCAATCGTTTGGTATGTTTGGTTTGTTCAATTAAGGAACCTGCCAATTTTCATTATTTTTGCATCTCTTTGACCTGCTTTGCGACCAATGGCAGATCCAGCAATACAAACATGAACGAGAATGCAATGCTATAATTAGCCAGACACGTGAAGATAAGATCATTCGCCTTGAGAGTTATATGGATGGAGTTTTACCAAAGGAGGAGTTCATGGAGGATGAGTTGTTGGCACTGATTCATGAGCATAAGGCATGCATCTGACCTGAAATTTGTCTTCTGAAATGTTTTTGTTTCCCCTAAACATGTTTCTTTTGTCATTTGCTGCAGCTTCTGAAGGCAAAGTATGAGAATCATCCTGAAGTTTTAAGTGCCAGACTTGAACTAAGAAGAGTTCAAGAGGAGCTGGAGCGGTATCATAATTTCTTTGAATTAGATGAGAGAGATGTGTTGCTGGAGGAGATTAAGGATTTGAGGAGCCAGCTACAGTTTTACCTGGACTTTTCACCAAAGTCATCTAGGAAAGGAAATTCTCTTCTACAATTAACTTTTCCATGTGAGCCCAGTGTGCCTCCAACTTTATCCACGATTCCAGTGTCAGATGAAGAGAGTTCTGAACAGAGACTTGAAAGGGAGAGAATTCAGTGGACTGAAACAGAGAGTAAGTGGATTTCTCTGGTAGAAGAGTTGAGGTTGGACCTACAAGCTAGCCGCACCTTGTCTGAAAAACGAAAACAAGAACTAGATTTGGAAACAAAATGCTCGGAAGAGCTGAAAGAAGCAATGCAGAGGGCAATGCAGGGCCATGCACGCATGATTGAACAGTATGCTGAACTTGAGGAGAGACATATTCAACTGCTTGCGAGGCACAGGAAGGTCCAAGTTGGCATAGAAGATGTTAAAAAAGCAGCTGCAAAGGCAGGAGTTAGAGGTTCTGAATCAAAATTCATAAATGCACTTGCTGCAGAAATTTCAGCTCTGAAAGTGGAGAGGGAAAAGGAAAGGCGCTACTTTAGGGATGAAAACAAGGAGCTTCAGAACCAACTCAGGGATACTGCTGAAGCTGTACAAGCTGCTGGTGAATTGCTAGCACGGCTTAAAGAAGCAGAAGAAGCTATTGCAGCTGCAGAGGTGAGTTTTGGAGTCCATTGTTTTCTTCTTTTTATTTTATTCTATCCGTACATATGTTTTTGGTTTGTTTGTATAGTTCTGTTGATTGTATACCGGTGTAGGGATATCATGAGTTTACTGTTGGCTGCTTTTAGACATCAAGATTTTTAAGTAATTTACAGGTTCCTTTTGGGTTTATCTTTTTTTTTTTAAACTAATTATATCTTAATTGATTTCAATTGTATGACCTCGTTTATATTTCAAATCCTTTAACCAAGTATAACTGGGAATTTTTAGTTATCTATTTACCATCTTCTATTGCTTGGATCTTCCAAACACTATGTAGTAGCTAAAGTTAATATCTTTGTACAACGTGGAAGAAAGTTATATAAAAAAACTAGAATTTTTTTGGAATCAATACAAGGTTTTTGCTAAGGACATAAGTCACATAACACAATGGAATAGACTGATCCATATATGCAATAGTCTCTAATTGGGTTAAAGTTTATATCATTATTGTTACAGTTACATGTTTGCAAGTGTCTTTTAGTTCTGGCCTGGAACTTGTATGCCGGTGTAGGGATAAGTGTGTGATCTAAAGGCAGCCGATGGTGTGGCCTAATGGTCAATGAAGTGGGTCCAAACCTTGGAGATCGTGGTTTAAGTCCCAGCAGAGATAAAAAAGACATTAGGTGATTTCTTCCTATCGGCCTAAACCTTGTTGAGCGGAGTTTCCTTGTGCTGGTGGGAGGTAGCAGGTTCCTATGGAATAGTTGAGGTGTGCAAGCTGCCCCATACACCACCGTTATAAAAGAAGGGTGTGTAATCTAGAGAATCTCCGGTTCCCAGGAACCTCCTAATTGGCATTATTTATAGGCAAACAAGTATTTATTGGCCTGATCTGGGCCTGAATGGAGTTTGAATGGTTTCAGAGGATTCAAATAGTGCACCCAACTTTGTTTGGGATTGGGGTGTAGATGATTGACTGATATTAAAGATCTGTCTGGTATAATCTAGAAGGAATATTTTGCCTGGTTTTAGGGAATCCAATATTCTGATGCTGCATGACTCTGGAAGTATATTGTAGAAATCTTTTTAAGAGTTTTCTTTCTTTGTTTATTTCTTAAATTCAGTCTCCATATATGATAAGTAAAACATTCCGATCATATTACAAACGAAGTTATCTTTTTTATGGGACGTCCTTTCAGGTAAACAATGTGAAGAGTTCTATCTATAAAGGTAGCTGAATGCAGATACTTGGCTATGTGTCCACACATCAATAATACCGTCTTGCCCTGACATTTCTCAGTGTCTCTTAATAAGATTCCTGTAGATTACTTCTCTTTCTTAAATTGTCGAAAAAGATCTCCAAGAATTAAGAGACCTCTTCGTGATGATTGGGCAAAATAACCTAGGAGAAATATGACTTGCCTAGGGAGTAAGACCTTGCTGTTTATCCCCATACACAAGGAAACTGGGACAATGTATCTTCTTATATGTGCCTTCCAAGTATATTATTTTTCCCATTCTGTCCGTGTACGTCCACTGGTCACTTTTGCTTGTATATATACTTTCTTTCTAAAATATCCTAACAAGTTTCTGAAATATGCAGAAACGAGCCATTTATGCGGAGCAAGAAGCTAATGAAGCTTACAAACAGATTGATAAACTGAAGAAAAAACATGAGAAAGAGATCACCAATTTGAATCAGTTACCAAAAGAACCCCATTTACCTAAAGATACATCAGAACCCGTATATGATGACCCCGAGACAGGTGATCAGCGATGGAGAGAAGAGTTTGAGCCATTCTACCATACTAAAGAGGAGGACTTACCAAAATTTGGTGACCCCTCTTCTTGGTTCTCCGGGTATGATAGGTGCAATGTATAGACAGGAAACGCATCATAGATTGTTGTTGTATGCATTGATAATAGTGTAATGTATAGTTTGGGAAGCTGTTGTTTTTTCCTCAAAATTAATGATAGTGATTGTCTAAACCAATTGTGAAAAATAGTCGTTGAATCTATCAAGCTCTTGTATCCAATGCCTTATTGCTTCAGTAGATATGAACTTTCTCATTCCATTCAAATACAAACCAGTTTTTAACTGTATCGAGGTATCATTCTTGTACCCTCTCATGTGTGTACNGTAGTTTTAGTATTGTCTCGTATTTTCTTATCCTTAGTTTTAGTATTGTCTCGTATTTTCTTATCCTTAGTTTTTATTACTATCTGGTATTTCTCTTGCTTCTGTTATCTTATTATCTTGCTATTGTTATCTTATTATCTTATTTTCTTTTGCGTGAGCTAAGGGTCTATCGGAAACTTGTCTCTACCTTCGCAAGGTAGGCGTAAGATTACATACACACTACCCTCCCAGGCCCTACTTGTGAAGTTACACTGGATTTGTTATTGTTGTTGACTTCTTGTTGTTGAGGCCATAATTCTGCATAAGAGTGAAAACCATACGTTGATATAGATGTGAAAGAAGATATATGTGATGATAATGATTTTTCTTTTTGGGGATTGTTTTCCAAAATTTATGTGACAAATGATTATTCTTTTCGAATTATGTTTAGAATTTGAATGAATGCCTTATTTGGATAGGGTGGGACATACTGCAGCAGAGACAAGTATGGAATTGTGGAAAGATCCCAAGAATGAACATTGATGTGTATTAGTAGCTTACTTAGATCATTTATTTGCTTGGTTTGCATGTCAAGTGGATAGGGGGCAATCTTCAAGTGGCTCAGACTAGTAAATTCACGTAGAATAGTTATAACATATATTTAAAATCTTCAACTATTTGAGCAACTTACTCGCCTTATTTTCCAAGTAATTAGTTCGATTTATGATGGGCAACGTACTTGAAATCTCTTATATGATTTGGTAATGTAAAAATTCTTTTGCACTATTATACAGAAATTTTATTAGAGAGAATATATATATATATATATATATATATATATATATATATATATATATATATATATATATATATATGTATATATAAAATTGGTAAAGTTGCTGTCATGTGATTAGGAGGTCACAAATTCGGGCCGCGAAAATAGCCTCTTGCAGAAATAGGTTACGTACGACAGACCCTTGTAGTTCTACTCTTACACGAACCCCGCACATAGCGAAAACTTAGTGCATGGGACTGCCCTTTTTATTTATCCAAGAAGGGACAGTCCATAGGAAACGCCTGAACTTGTGCTGATATTTTAGTCTATCATGTTATGAAGACTATAAAACAAGTAGCTTGTGGGATTGTCTTCTTTGACATCTAACTCTTTCTACTTGTGGACCATTTTGTAGGGTGTACATGGACCGGGTTGGTTTGGTTTTTATTAAAACTAAACCAAACCAACTATATCGGGTTGGATTGGTCCGGTTTTATCGGGTTTTTCGGTTTTTCGGGTTTTTTTGTTATGTGAATATTATTTCAATCTTACTTTGTTAAACTTTTTATAAGTAAATATATGTTTAGTAAAACTTGACAAACATATGATCTATTTAAATATTTTTATGGTAGTATTTTGTTAATAACACATGATAGTTATTTTTTTAGTCCTTTGACAATAATTTTTCGTTGATGTATACTTATAAGGTTAAACGAATTTAATAATTAAACATAAAAATCAACATGATACCTAACTAATGATAAGTTCTATTTAATTTTAGATTATCAAAATACCACTTCAAATTTGAAAAAGATATAAGAATTTAATAAATGTTGATATATGAACAAGGAAGAACAAAGAAATTGGCGCATTTCAGATGGAGTACTTGATAAGAAAGTGATCATATAACCCATTAGTTAAGGTTAGTAAAAATGGAGTACTTCATATTCTATTAAATATTACATTCCATAAGAGAATCCCAAATATTTCTAAAATTTTTGTAAAGAAAATTCTATATAAAGTCTAAAAAGTATATATTTATATGTCGGTTTTGATCGGGTTTTTTTACTCAATACCAAACCAAACCTAGTCGGGTTTTTTAATCGGTTTGGTTTGACTTTTCGGTTTGGTGTGGTTTTTCGGTTCGGTTTGTACACCCCTACCATTTTGTTCCTTTTCTTAAGAGGCACTTCTTTTTTACTTAAATATATCGTGGCGGAGGCAAGATCTTCACGAAGTGGCTTCAATTTTTTTTTTTTTTTTTTAGCTAATGGGAATTGAACCTATAACCTTATGAAGGTTTTGAACCTCCTTTTCCACCTACAGTTTTGAGTTGTGTTAAGGGGGTTCAAAACTTAATATATAGAGGTAAAAAACAGATTTTGCCTTATATATATAGTGTAATTTTTCAGCAAAGGGGGTTCTGAACCCCCTTCCGCCCCTGCAAATATATGTAGATATAAAATATACCAAGTAGGCTCCAGCCCTAGCCATAGAACAAAATGTGGAACCCATAAATTCTTTGTTTCTCTGTTCTCAGTTAGTCTTTTATGCAATAGTAATTCAAATTGCCAGAATTTACTAAGTTGTGGATATTGAGATGATCCAAGTGTCTAACACTGCTGGATAGCAGCCATTTGCACTAAATCTTAACATGATATGGAACTCAGAAGCGGATTTAGGATTTGAAGGTCGAGGGGTACATGCGAGAACTGCTCAATCAGTAACCCATCAAACTTTTGATCTCAAGGGTTCCAGGCAAAATATATATATATATATATATATATATATATAGGTTAACAATGTCTAGTGACCCCCCATCTCTATACATAGGTCAGCTCTGATTATGGTCTTGCAAAGTCTCAATTCTTCTTTTTCAGTGTAAATAATTCGGTATCTAAAGTCCATCGGCATGACTAATTCGAATTCACGCTGAATAGATTATCGTAGTTCTCAATCATTTCGTGGCACCGGCCATGGTTGAACCATCTACGATGGGGGAGTTAATGCACAGGGATCTAAGGGAGATAAAGTATTCTCTATCTAAAGGTTCTCAATTCCTAAAGCTCAAATCTAATACTTCTGATTAAGAACGGAGGGATCTCAACTATCACCCGTATGTGATCAGAGTATCCATTATTAGTATATTGCTCAACTCATATTTGTATTGAAAATGACATGTATATTTGGTTGTTAATACAGAGAAACAAATCTCCGAAAGTAACTGGACTTAAAAAAAGAGACTATCTTTCTATGGATGCAAATTTTTGGCTTATTTCTGACTACCATTAAAAATAAGAAAAATATTTCATACACTTTACTTTACGTATCAAAGTGGGGCCACTTAAAGCTCTAAAATATTTATTCTTTTACTCTATTGGAGGAGCAAGACAAATAAATACATTAATTTACATGAATAAATCTCTACAAGGATATATTGTTGAAAAAGTTTTTATCTTGTCAGAATAAGATATGATCTTAAAATAAGTTTGTATCATGCATGTTTATAATTTACTTTTGACATTATCTAAACTACTCTAGTATTATATATTATCAAATCTCATCCACCTTCATACAGCTAAAATCTTGAGATATTAAAACGGTAGCACAATGCATTAAGCTTCCGTTATGCGCGGGGTTCGAGGAATGGTCGGACCACAAGGGTCTATCGTACGCAACTTTACCTTGTATTTTTTCAAGAGGCTGTTTCCACGACTCGGACCCGTAACCTTCTGGTCACATGGCAGCAACTTTACCAATTACGCCAAGGTCCCTCTCAAAATCTTGAGATATTGCTTAGAGATAAAAAAAAGAATATTGATAATGATATTAAAGCTTGAAAGTAAAAGATTTAGTTGGTGATATCACAATGATGGGCTGGCTATTCAATCTTCAAAATCACAACCTATTTTTCCTTTTCTTTTTTCCTAACTTAGGCATTTGGTATTTGAACTACTAATCCAACTAATTCAGATTTATATCTACTAAAGGAGATAAAACGCTCCCCATGAAGGGGGTTTTCATTTCTGATTAAGTATGAAAGAATTTCAACTATTGCACCACGTCATGTTTTTTTCTCATATTTCAAATTAAATATTGTAGGAAACCAAATCAGAGAAATTTGCTGCTTAAGTGGGCGTTTGGACATAAGAATTGTAAAATTTCGAAAAAAGTAAATATTTTTTCCAAGTGAAAATGGTATTTGAAAGTTAGAGTTATGTTTGGACATGAATACAATTTTAGGTTGTTTTTGAATTTAAGAAAAATCCGGATAAATACCACAAAAAGGAGGGNGAATACCACGAGGGGGGGGCATAGGGCTGTGTGAACGCGGCTTTCACTAAGAGAAAGATGTGCCTACAATGAAACTGTTAGACCTTTGTTGATGCACAACATAATTATTTCTGGTTGATCATGTTCCCAGAAAAAAGTCAGAGTTTTAGAAGACTCTCGGTTATTAAGATCACTGCTTAACAAAGCGATCTTGATAGCCGCTGACGTACTAAGGAGTTATGTATTGGAGCTTACCTGTTTGCTCTCACGGTAATGAGGATGGCCCGAGTGAATGACCTTAACGATCGTTTTAGAAGTAGCGCTTTACTAGCCTGTCGACTCAAAGCAAGGTTGATTTGAAGTGAAAATTTTGGAAAACGATCTTTTGATATTTTTCAAATTTTCGAAAAAAAGAATTTATTTTCTAATGAAAATTGAAAATTTCATAGCTAAACGCTGATTTCGAAAAAAGTAACTTTTCCTTTTGGAAAAAAAGGTGAAAATCTCGTATGGCCAAACGGCCCATTAAGTTGAAAGAAAGAGACATAAAGTGAATGGAAAGGTATGATATGTACAGCAGCGCAAGATGAGAAGCCAGACAGTTTGGTATCTTAGTTGTACACCTCACCCCC